TTCCAAATCGGCTGCTGGTGGCCTTCCCAGCGTTCTAAACAGGAAACACACAGGGCTGGGATGGGTCTGTGTCAGCGTCCCAGAGAGGAGCTGAGCTTTGCATCCTCCCCAGCTGTCAGCGAGACCTGGAAATGGTGCGCATCTCTGCCTTCCAAGGCAACGGGGCGCGCGGAAGGTAAACGGTGCTGCTGGGTGCCGGTCAGGGAACGGGTGTCCCTGGGTCCCGGGAAAATGGATGTGAGGGCCTTGAAGCAGTCCCAAGACCGTGGTTCTCCGCTCCCACCGCCCCATCTGCTGGAAAGGGGACTTGGAGGCGGCAAAAGCTGCCGGATGAACCTTCCGGGGAGTCGGTTTACCCCCGGAGGGGAGGGGAGACGCGCGCACTCACCTCTGCCGCTGAGACAGCCTCTCCTCCTCACTGGCGAACAAAGGCGAGTCCTGCCCGGGTGCGGCCGGGCATCCCCCAGGCTCCCCAGGCCTTCAGAGCATCGGAGGGAGAGGCTGCTGGCAGGGGCGGATTCCGCATCCGAGGAAGGTCACCCCGGGCGACGTGGCCAGCGCCCCGCCAAAGCTCTTTTGTGTGTGCAGGGGTGTGGGGTGCGGGCTTAGCGGTGGGTTCCCCCGCGCGGGGCTGCGGCTGCGCCCCCTGTCATCGCCACCCGCCTGCGCGCCCTGCCTGCCTCCGAGGTGTCTGTCTGCTGCTTCCCAGCTCGCGGCTTCCCGGAGACAGTTAATGTATGCTGCTTTTGTGTGCAGCCGGGAGGGGGTGGGGGCAGGCCTGACCGAAAAGCACAGCCCCCCCCACCCCCACCCCCCTGCCAGAATCCGGTCCTCTCCATTGGCTGAAAGACAAGCCTCTCCCAAAGCCACTCCAGAGGCGGAGGCAGAAATAATTTTCTGATGGCGCATCACAGATTTAAAAAACAAAACAACCGACAAATACATACGTGGCGAGGTGGCCTCATTCCTTAGAGAACGGGGTGGAGGGGTAGGGGGGTGGGGGAAGGTCTACTTGGCACTTCTCTTTGCAAAAGGAACAGGGGTGAGGGGTGGCGTCCCCCAAAAAGTCTGAGCAGGCAAAGGAATGACTGTCCAAAGGTCAGGTGTGGTGGCTCATGCCTGAAATCTTAGCACTTTGGGAGGCAGAGGTGGGAGAAGCACCTTAGGTCAGGAGTTCGAGACCAGCCTGTCCAGCAACCTGAAACCCCATCTCTACTAAAAATACAAAAATTTGCTGGCCTTGGTAGCTGGCGCCTGTAATCTCAGCTACTCAGGAGGCTGAGGCAGGAGAATCACTGGAATCTGGGAGGCAGAGGTTGCAGTGAGCCAAGATTATACCACTGTATTCCAGCCTGGGCAACAGAGGGAGACCCTCATCTCAAAACAAGAAAAAAAAAAGAAATGATGGTCCAGGTCACTGTGTCGTGGGTCCATGAGGTGGTCACTTAACGTTGATGGAGCCTCGTGCTCTCAACAGGGGTGGATGCAGGGGAGACAGGAATTTCTCAGGCACACTTGCTCTGCAGGGTTACTGTGGGAATGGCGCCCCCTGCAGTTGTGCAATGGCGTGGCCTCGCCCTGGAGGAATTCAAGGAGACAGTGGAAGATGGTAGGCTGGAGAGTGCAGGCCCTGCAGTTGGAATGGAAGTGGGTTTGAACTCTAGCCCAGCCACTCCCCAGCTGGGGGACCAGTGAGTGTGAGTGATCTCACCTACCGGCCTTAGTTTTCCTCATCTGTGAAATGGAGCTGCTAGGCCTTTCCACATGTTATGAGATGATGCATAGACAGCACTCAACACAGTGCTAGCACAGGAAAACCTCTATCTGTGTATGTGTTTCTTTTTTTCTTTTTCTTTTTTTTTTGAAGTGGAGTCTCCAGCTCTCTTGCCCAGGATGGAGTACAGTGGTGCGACCTTGGCTCACTGCAACCTCTGATTCCCGGGTTCAAGTGATTCTCCTGTCTCAGCCTCCCAAGTAGCTGGGATTACAGGCACGTGCCACCACGGCCGACTAATTTTGTATTTTTAGTAAGACAGGGTTTCACCATGTTGGCCAGGCTGGTCTCGAACTCCTGACCTCAGGTGATCCGCCCGCCTCGGCCTCCCAAAATGCTGGGATTACCTGTGTGAGTCTGTCTAGAGACTACTTTGGAGTGGTGCAGGGTGGGGGACCCTTGGGGAGCCTTCCTGGTGGGGCACAGGGGTGATGACTGTATGCTTGAGACCCCTGAGGAGTGAATGGACTTAGATGAATTTAAAAAAAAGAGGGAGGAAGGTGTATTCTGGACAGACAGGCCTGCCTAGACTGGCATTTCAGCAGCCACAGCTTCTCCCCAGTATACGAGGGCCCGTGGAGCTGTCCATGGTGCTACAGCCACCACCAAGGAGACATGGCGTGTGACCTGAGCTCGGTCCCTGTCTGGTTTTTTTTTTTTTTTTT